TTAAAAGCTGCCTTTCTCACTTGACTGGAAGCTCTGTGAGAGTATGTACAGGATTTACTTTTGCGTACAAGTGTATTCACCACCTAATAGTGTCTTGAACACAAAGTATTCAGTAATTACTTTTGAAGTGACTATTAATCAGATAAAAATAATTGTTCTCCAATCATATTCCTTGAGTTTTAGGCCCCCAGACTTCTGTTATGAGGTGTGTTTCATATGCAAAGTTATACCCACATTTTATCCTCTCCACATTTTATCCAATCTCAGAGACCCATCTGAATGGACACTTCCTTGACTTTTCATACAACTATCATCTCTGCCTCCTTTGAAAATCATGGAACTTAAGTGTCTGCTCTCTTGCCACACTTGGTGTTACTATCATTAAGCTGTGCCTCTTATCCCCTTTAGAAGTTCATAAGCTTCAGTAGGGCAAGGCTGATTCATTTCCCTTTATATCACCTGCAGTAACTAGTGCATTTCTCAGATGCTAAATAAACGTGTCTTCTTTATTGATTAATATAAGTAAAACACATATTATATGTTCAATTAATGTTTATAGAAACAAGGGAAAATTGTTTTAGGTACTTGTCAGTTCCACCAATCTGTAGTGAATAAAAGATTGGTGGAACTGACTAAAACAGCACTATAAATAGGGCTCACAGAGGAAATGCCTTCTGTTCTGATCACTTGTTATTTAATAGATTTATTTGTTATAGGTGGCAAAGCGGTTCTAGAACTGTTAGATTCAACTTGCCTTTTTACTTCCCTGTTTCTTGCTCAGTAAATTACAGTGAAGACGAATTGACATTTCACTGAAATAATTTTTCTTACTACAGAATTAAAATAAACCTTTTCATAGAATGCAGCATTAAATAGGGTGCCAAATGGCTAACTTGAGAAAGATGGCAGGATGGATATAGTGTCAGGTGTAGAACATAGGTTTGAACTAAATACCTGAGGATCAGGGGACCAGCTATTAAGAATAAATTGTCACTGTTCACAGGCAAAACACACTTGAAAAAACTTAAAAAAAAAAAAAACAACAACTCACTGAACTTAAACAATTTGTTGTAATTTTTTCAATGCTCAACAGAAAACAAACAAACAAACAAACGCCAACTATGGTTCCAAACAGGAAAGTCACTCCTCATTTCCCCCTTAGGTCCTTTAATACGTCTTGACTCTGGGCTAATGGGTCCAGTTTTGGTGTGAAGACAACATTTCTCCCTCCCTTTCCGCACCCTACCTCTGTGAACATTCTGGGGGCTTCTAAATTTAGATAAAGGACCATTGGGAGTTCCTGTGCTCCAAAATACTGGAAATCAATGTATACAATTAACTTCTTCAAACATTTATTGAGTATCTAGTATGTGCTGGGGTTTCCTCTAGGTACTAGAGATTCAAAGGTGAACAAGAAATTATCCTTGCTATGAAAGAGCACACCGTTTGGTGGAGTAGATGGGAATATGCAAATATCCTTCTTAGGTAAAAGACTGCAAATAGAGCTAGAAAGCACAACACCTCGGAAGACAAAAGAGAGAGAGACTTGTTCTGATTGTGGGGTTTGTTGATGGGAGGTGGGAGCTACACTGGGCGTAGAGACATTGTGGTTCTTCCTCCTGCATCCATCTGTCTCACCTCTCCCTTAATGGGTGACAGATGTGTGACTGGATGGCATTGATCCCACCCTGACTCTATCAGTGGGTACTGTTCACTCAAAATGCCAGGAGTACTTCTATTGAGAACCATTCAGCTAAACCAGTGAGAGAAATCTCATCCTCTATTGATTCAGCTACTCCAGGTCTAAGCCAATTAACTCACAGCATTCTCCTTGGCCATTAGTGTGGCCTAATCAGAATACAGTGTCAGATTTTTATTCAATGGTTGTGGGCAAGCATCTTTTCTGTCTCTCATTGGACATGAAGGAAGAAGGACATGTACCCCCAATTTGTGCTCAAATCCATCTCATGACCATGAGAGGAGCCTGCTTTAATATAAATCTAGCAGAAGGGATAGTAGAGGCGAAACATGGGAAAAACGAAAAACAAAAATGAGCCCCTGATGACATTATTTGGCCAACTATCCTGAAGATCATCCTTTTTCTAGATGTTCCAGTTATGAGAATCAATAAATTCCCTTTATTATCATTATATTATTATTATTACTATTATTTAAGAGATGGGATCTTACTATATTGCCCAGAACAGCCTTGAATTCCTGACCTCAAGCAATCCTCTGGCCTCAACCTCCCCAGTAACTGGGCAGCTGGGACTACAGAGGTGCACAACTGTATGCCCAGCTTAAATTTCTTTATTTCAAAAGACAGTTTCCGCTGGGCTTTCCCTTATTTATAATTTGAAAGCATCCTAAGGTACAGAGGACGTTGAAATACATAGGACTTCAATGGGTAGGGGATGGAGGCGGAAAGGATATTCCAAGTAATAGAAACACCTTGAGCAGGGTATTAATTTAAAAAATGTAGCAAATTGTGTGTGTGTTTAAGAGAGAGAAACCTAGGTGTTTATGGGACATCTATAGTGGGAAATATTCTTATACCATTCCTAAGATGAGAAAGGGAGAGGGGAGGTGGAAAGAAAGAAGCAATGTTTTTTTCTAGTGACAACTTCAGATTGCACTGAATAATGAATGTCGATATACATAAACTGCCAATAATTTTTATTTCCATAATTTTTTCCAGTGTATTAGTATTTATCATAAAAATATATAATAAGATTTCAAAATTAAATGAGTGGTAAATTCGCCAATTTTATGAAACTCATTTCATTTGTACACAGCATACCAAATTACTGGTGCTGTGTACAATAACAATTACATAGTTATGACGTATCTAAAAGGTTTTTCCATTTTAAAGCTTGATTGTATGGAGAGGTGAACATGAAGGACATTATAACTATCGTTGTTAAAGAAGACATACAGGCTGGGCGCATGGCTCATGCCTGTAGTCCCAGCACTTTGGAAGGCTGAGGTGGGTGGATCTCTTGAGTTCAGGAGTTCGAGACAAGCCTGGGCAACATGGGGAAATCCCACCTCTAGAAAAACTACAAAAATTAGCCAGGCATGTTGGTGTGTGCCTGTAGTCCCAGCAACTTGTTGCTGAGGCCAGAGGATCGCTTGAGCCCAGGAAGTTGAGGCAGCAGTGAGGCATGTTTCTGCCACTGTACTCCAGCCTGGGTATAAAAGAGAGACAAAGGAAAAAAAAAGTTGTGCACTGAATTATTCTCCCTCTGGAATGTGCAGCCGTTTTGTGTGTGTGTGTGTGTGTGTGTGTGTGTGTGTTTTCTTAGAATTCATGAGGTCTTACGCAAAATAAAGAAACTGTAATTGGGGAAGTTCTAGGTGATGGCTTAATCATATTTATAATTGGTGTGTTTATGTCTAAATGCTAATTTATGCATGATGCCATCCATACCAGGTAGATTTATAAATTAATTTTAAAAAGTCATACTCCTTGCTTTCAAGATCCTTAAAAATGTCCTAACAGCATTGACAATGTATAGAGAATAGAGAGTATGAGTATCCCCAAATATATTTTTTAACAAAAAGAAATGTAATATATTGTGCATGGGGGCATTTTGAGTCTCCTTTTCATCTTGGAAAAGATGAAAAAGAAACAAGAAGGCCAACTTTAGGGAAAGCAGGGCTCTAAAAGTTGGAGAAGAGAAAGTTCTAAAAGGGAGAGAAAGGATTTCATACAAGGAAATGTTTTTAAAAGGCAAGTGCCAAGAATGCACTCCTTCTGGAGTCTCATGGGGCATCTTGCTACTGCCTTGTATCTCTTCCAACATCAGTCTAAAAGTCACAGGATGCTAAGGATTAAAGTGGCCAGACAGGCTCAGGTCTCCCTTATCAGTTATCTATTTTCTTAAATATGCACCTTACTAGGAATCTGATCGCACAAAAGCTCTTGGAACACAACGTGCATATGGAAGTGGTCCTGGAAAAATGCTACCATTAATTACTTTCATTTCAAGCTATCTTTGAAGTTCATATGAAAATCAGATGGTAGGAAAACTAAGTCAGGTTTAGATAGTTTCCCACCCACTGTATTTCATCTAAATTTTTTCAAGTGCTTTGCTGCTTATTTGTTTCTCCATTTTTGTTATTGCTGTTCATAAGCAAATAGACAAGATGGCAGGAAGTATCAAAGCTAAACTAAATCTAGTATGAGAACAATGTTTTGTTTTGTGTTTTATCCTAGAGCTTTGCAATGGTATGGAATTAATAATATTGCCATATAAAAAGAAGTGAAGATGAAACAAAAATAGTTAAGTTTATCATTTGCAGTGCAATGAGGAATATATATGTCTGTCAAAAATTGTGAAAAGCAAAGGTAAACTTGCAATTGTGTGTGTGTGTGTGTGTGTGTGTTCATGTGTGTGAGAAAGAGAAGGAGAGGGAAGAAGGGAGAGAGGAACACAGTAGCTATCTTCAGGCATAACACATTTTAAGAATTGAATTCTTGTCCCTTTAGGAAAAAACCTGTCCCTTCAGGTTGCAAATTTTACACATTAAAAAAGCTAAAAGAAAAGATTATTAAGCAGTTTGATTATTTAATCAAAGTCTATTAACATTCTAAAAAGTTAAAAGTTGTGATTAAAATTGATTTGTTTTTATATTTATTAATAATTCTCCTGCTAACATAAGATTAGTTGACAGCATTCAAAGACACAAATTTTTTTACATTGTCAATAGTAATTGTAATATATTCGAAACAAAGGGATAAAAGATGTCCAATTACACTTAAATTAAAAAAATTATAAGACATATAAATAAAGTTCAAGTTAATTTTTATACAACCAGTTTCCCTCTTGTTGTAAAACTTACAGACTTATAGTATACAGAATCTGTATAGTACAGACTGTATACTATAGTATAGTATACAGATAGTAACTTATAGTATACAGATTCTCAAGGACTAAACTGAAAGTAAACTACATGTGGATAGAGGAAGTTGAGAAGGGAAGAAGAACCATTGGTACCTGGATACTGGTCAGCGTTGTGTATTGGTAAGCCTTGACCACCAGGTAATTTGCTTCCAGGTCTATGAGTCCCAAAATCATGTACTTCCACCATCTTCGTCGTAAAATTGCCAGGAGGTTTTCTTCTCCTGTGTTACAAAGTTAAGAAGAAATGGGTTAGGTTCCTGAAACAGACTAAATTGTATATTTAGAAGAATTCTAATATGTTGCAACATTATATATTTTTAACCTTAAGTTTACCAAATATTTAAACAAATAAATCAAGGTATCAGATACCCACATGTTTTTACTCAGCAAATTATCTTTATTGTAGATTTGGCTTTTCAAGTTAGTTTCTATGCCAGAGTAAGACTGGGCAGGTTATTAGCTTACCATGCAAAATATCTTTTGTGTGTGAATAAAGGAACAATAAAATATTTACATCATATGAAAATAAAAAGAAAGGTGTACCAGAAAGGCTGCATAAACACACACATTCCAAATCATCCTAAATTTCAGGATTGTGATGAAATAGATAAAAATGAAAAGAACCAAATAGAAAAAGGCTTGTGCTTGGCAGCAGTTCTGTAGTAAGACTCTGAGATGCTATCCTGAGTTCCTGATCAGCGTGAATGTTGCATGCACTCTGGTGGTTTGTGGATGATGGGAAGAGAGAGGAAGTTGGGTCATCACTCTCAGATGAAAAGGAGTGCCATTTGAAAACACTTTTAATACTGCCAACAACTATAATCTTCACCATCTTGCATTTTAAACTGGTAGCATCAGAACAGCTGAATCTCTTAGTTCTTCATTCTTATTTTGACATATTTCAGGCCTGAGATAAACCTTATTTTTCAAGGCGGGGCAATCAGGATCAGGAACAATAATAACTCTCTGTAGCCAACCTGTGGGGTCTTCATAGAGGATGTAGGTATACAGAAACTCAGTGAATGGTGACTATAACCATATTTATGACTGTGTAACAAGGTATCCGGAGACAGAGATGTTTAAAACAAGAAATACTGATTATCTCTCAGTTTTTGTGGGTCAAGAACCAGGTTAGAGCTTAAATGAGTGTCTCCAGCTCAAGGTCTCCCAGTAAGTTGCAGCCAGTTGTCAACCAGGAATGCAGTGTGATCTGAAGGAATGACTGGGAAGGGACCTGCTTCCAAGCTCAGTCACATGGCTGTTGGTGGGTGTTGGCCCCTTACCCCAAGGATCTTTGCACAGTACTGCCTCAAAACATGGTATTTGGTTTATCCCAGGATGAACAACGAGAGAGAGAGAGAAAAAAAAAAACAAAGATGGAAGATCAGTTTTTTATAACCTGTTCTCAAAAGTGACACTTCTACTCTATTCTTTAGTAAAGGGTCAATAAGTCCAGCCCACATTCAAGGGGAGAGAAATCCATAAGGAAGTGAATACCAGGAGGCAGAGATCCTTGCAGGCCATCTTAAAGGCTGCCTAAACAGTGACACACATCTTTAGTACTAGAGATGTACTTCAGCTGGTCCTCAAAGCCTCAGCAGAACACTGGATCCTCAGCTGTATTTGGACCACTCTCAGAACCTTGAGCTACTGATTTCTGCTCTTAGTTGTATTCCAATGACCATGATATGACGTGGTCTTTCCAACCCTATGGAGACATGTGAGCACAAAGCTTTCAGTTACATACAGACTGCCAAAGCATGAGTTGTGGCCAGTTGGCAATAGGAGAGAAGGGTCTCTTGAGACCTTTGGTGGTCAAATCAGTTTTCCAGCCTACTTTTTCAAGCCACACTTCTCATAGCCTTCAAGCCTTCAAGCATGCACAAAGTCTTTCTGTCTCAGGGAACTGCACTCCCCATCTTGCAAACTCCTATTCATTTTTCAAAATATAGCCCTTCGCTGGTCTTTTGGCTAACCCCTTTCCCCAACTGGGCAATGCACATCCATCTCTAATTAATCCTTTCATAGGATTGTGATTACTGACTCTTCACTAGACAGGGTGCTTGTATCCAAAGGTAGAGTTAATGTCTTACTCATATACTTATCCATAGCGTCTAGCAAGGGTTAGCTAAGTGTTTTGGAGCGAATGAATTAATGAACTGAAAAAAAAAAAAAAACCCTGTGAAATACTGTCTGAATATGTCAAGAGCCAGTGCTAGAATATGAGTCACTCTTTTCACGGTTTTGCACATGAGAAGGCTGGTAGATGTGATCCCCAAGGTCAGTTCTTCACCGCCAGATCATTTTGGCAGTCTTTGAGCAGCTCTTCTGCCTCTCTGACTTGCCTTACATGTTTGACAATCAACACATCTGTCAGGATTTGTCTTGTCAGTCGGTGATTCTCAACTTGACTCTATATTCACATCATCTGGAGAGCTTTTAGAAAGTCCTGGCCGGGTGCGGTGGCTCATGCCTGTAATCCCAGCACTTTGGGAGGCCGAGACAGGCAGATCATGAGGTCAAGAGATCGAGATCAACCTGGACAACATGGTGAAATTCTGTCTCTATTAAAAATACAAAATTTAGCTAGGCGTGGTGGTGCACACCTGTAGTCCCAGGTACTTGGGAGGTTGAGGCAGGAGAATCACTGGAACCCAGGAGGCGGAGGTTGCAGTGATCCGAGATCGCGCCACTGCACTCCAGTCTGGCAACAGAGTGAAACTCTGTCTCAACAAAACAAAACAAAACAAAACAAAACTCAAAAAAGTCCTAATGCCTGGGACCAGCCCCTAGAGATTCTGATTTAATTGGTCTTGGGTGGGGGGGCCTGTGCATTGTGCTGAGAATCAAAACTAGGACTTTCAGATGATTAATGTTCAATGGCCATTCTCAGGGTGACTTGAGCTAAGAATCCCAAAGAGATACAACCACAGAGTGGTGAAGACTCTTCATACCAAAGAAATGACCTGAACATTTGGCCCAAAGTACACTTTCTCTTGTCTCTGGGCCTTTCCATGTGCTGTTTCCTCTACTTGGACTATTCTTCCTTCAGTCTCCAAATGAAGTCTCAGCATACACACTTCTATCAGGAAGCCTTCCTTGATACTCTTATCACTCTAGACAGGGCTAGGTTTTCCTGCTGTGTGCTCCCTTAACACCCCCCCCCCCTTTTTTTTTTTTTTATATGCAATTTTTCTCTTTTCACCCAGGCTGGAGTGCAATGGTGCAATCTCGGCTCACTGCAACCTCCACCTCCCAGGTTCAAGCAATTCTCCTGCCTCACAGTCTCCCGAGTAGCTGGGATTACAGGCATGTACCACCACACCCAGTTAATTTTGCATTTTGAGTAGAGATGGGGTTTCTCCATGTTGGTCAGGCTGGTCTCAATCTCCTGACCTTGTGATCCACCTGCCTCAACCTCCCAAATTGCTGGGATTACAGGCGTAAGCCACCATGCCCGGCCAACACCCATTATTTATGCCAAGTGCTTATCCTCCCGTCTTATAATTACCTACTTTCTTGACTCTGTTACACATTAGATTATTAACAATTTGGAGACAGCAGAATTGTCTTGGTCATCACTTTATTCCCAGATCCAACAGTGCATGACAGGCAGTCAATAAATAATACAACTGCATAAATAAATTTCATGTTTAATAATCTCAGCAATGTCAAATGCCATTGCAATTGAGGCACTGAAAATATATCTATTAGAAATATTCATGTTTCAACCTATGAGAATTGTTTTCTAGTTAGAATGTAGACAACATCTGACAAAATTAATTTGGTGAACATTTTACACATAATACACTGTACCTTGGATATAAAAAGGTGAATGGCATATTTAACCTTCACACTGCAATTCTAAAAATAATAAATAAAGGGTCACAGACACTTGTCCCAGTTAATTTACACAGTGAACACAGAATTGCCAGACTCAGAGCACACCAGCCACATCTCAATACATAGCACTGAAAAAATGGGCTATGGTGCTGTTTGTTCCATCAATCAATAACATATTTAAAGTGTTATTCATTACATAGATTCAAAGGAATGATTAGTTGCCTTGCCATTCTGCTGAAGTTTGCAATGCAAAACACCCTAAATAAATGCTTCCATATTGTTTCATCTGAAGTACCTGAAAATAGACAACATGCTTGCTTAGCAGAATTATTCAGGAGGGCAAGAGGAAGGCTTTTTTATTTTTGGCTGAGCAAAAAATGCAACCGCTGAAAAGCCTGCTTGGGGATTTATCTACATGACTCCCATTAACACTGTTCTACAATAGACCATTAAAACTATTTCTAGAATAATGAAAATATATTCCTTAGAGTCCCTGTGCCAGCACTACCCAAACCTCATGAAACAGGGCCATCTATAAGAAACACCAGTACAGCTGGTAATATGCTAATGTTTTGAAATCCACCCCACCTTTTCTTAAAAATTAACTGGGAGAAGTAATAAAATCCATGGGTGGAAACTTTAGAATTATGGTTTGACAATTAAATGCATTCTGTTCACTATTTTTATTATCAATATGTCCAAATATAAATAAAAAGATTAGAGAATAACGTATCCTCCTCCCTGATTTAATAAATGTTAACAGCTCGCTGTGCTTTTCTCAGATCTTTATTTTTTGAGAAAGAAAATTTTACAGATGAAATCAAAGACCGCTCTCTGTCCCTGCCAGACTTTATTTCCATTTCTCCTTCCTCAAATCATTGTCCTGATATTGCTTTTTTGTTGTTGTTTTTGTTTGTGGGGGGTGTTGTTTGTTTGCTTGCTTGTTTCAGACAGGGTCTCACTCTGTCTCCCAGACTGGAGTGCAGTGGCATGACCGTGGCTCACTGCAGCCTTGACCTCCTGGGCTCAAGCGATCTTCCTGCTTCAGCCTCCTGAGTAACAAGCCCAGCTAATTTTTGTATTTCTTTTTAGAGATGGGGTTTTGCCATGTTGCCCAGGCTGGTCTTGAACTCCTGGGATCAAAGAATCCACCCGCCTTGGCCTCCCAAAATGCTGGGATTTACAGGCATGAGCCACCGTGCCAGCCTTATCATCTTGATTTTGTTATGTATCTTTTAGGCTACTGTTTTTGTTCACATTTCTACGTGTGCATGTATTCAAAATAGCATATGACTTTCTTTCATGTGCTTTTAAATTTTATGTGAAGGTTTACTGTAAATGCTGTAAATATTCTTCTAGGTTTCTTCATGCTTATCCT